GATCACCTAAGCTGCGTCTTAAGCATGCATCATGATAGTTTCGTTCGCTGCATAGGCAATGCTGCACGTCTACCAGCGCCTGAGCAACGCCCAGCACGCGTACCGACGTTGCTTCTCTTCGAGTTGAGGAACGATGTTGTCATCGATCTTGTGGAGACTGTGCGACAAGCAGATCACCCCTTTTTTTCCTCTGTCTTCGCAACAATGCTTTTACTAAGAAATCTGTATATGGTAGAGAGCTGGGGCTATAATTCGAGCTTCAAGGTTTATTTTTTACGGTATTGTTTTTGTGACGGTAATTAACTCATGATTGATCAGACGAGTAGACCGATTGGAAGGCCCACATGATTTATTAGTGGACCACATATAAATCAGGATTTAAGCAGAGAGAGATCCGATAGACCAATCACTTTCGAATCATCCTCCTTCCACACAAGTCGTCATCATTCGGTCCAGATTACAAGAGCAGAATTTCTTTGCAAAACCTTAGGCATCAGTTTCAGCATATCTACGTATCAGCAGAGTAGATGCGGCTAACTTCTTTGATCCACCTTATGGCGCCGCCAGGTGACTAGAAGATATAGGCCCCCTCGCCATTCTCAGCCACGTTTTGGTATGGGTTGCAGCGCAGTTGGAATACGATGTTGCTTGCCTATATATAGCATTCCACGGCACGACGGCTGAGATCGATTCTCGCGTGACACCACAAATGCCACACCGACTAAATAGAAAGTGTGCCGCGCGAATAGCAAGCCCACATCGCAAAGTGAAGTCTTTTATACTTGTCTATTGTATGTCAGTCGGAATTTGAAATCTGGTGGCGTCTGGCTTTGTACCTAACACCCTAGTGTATGGTGTGAGTATAGATATTCAAACAGGTTGCTTAAATGGAGTACGCAAAGTAAGACGCGCGAAAAGAATTAATGAATAGATGTCTTTATTGTGCGTTGTAATGGCTTGTAGGCACCCTGTTAAGATGTAACGAGCACTGGGCGAGAGAACGAAGCTTAAAGAACTTAAAAGAAGTCTACACTGCAAAGTGAAGACGACTTGTGTAGGAGAAGGAATATTTGGAAGTGAGTTTATTTGTGGGTTCAAAGCTACCTGAATTGTCTCTGCACTGATCTATAGGTTGTCCACATATGAATCATGAATCATAAATCATGTAGGTCATCCGATCATCCTAGGCGTCTAATTATTGGTAAAAACTCACCGTAATTACGCGGGATCGACTTGGACAGGTTTACGGTTTCCATGGTAGCTGATAACAGCACCTCAACCGTTAACCCGCAATACGCCCCCTCAATGCAAACACGCGTGTATGCCGAGCGCTGCCGTCAAGTCCTTGTGACGCGGTCCTGGCAGTCCCTTGGTCATGATGTCCGCCAACATAATCGTAGTCTCACAGTAATTTAAAGTGACATCACCACGCTTGACTTCATCACGAATGTGATGGTACTTGATGTCGATGTGCTTGGCCCGACCATGGTTCACAGGATTGTTCGTCATCTTGATGCACGATTGGTTATCTTCCATGATCTTGAGCTCGGGTCCAGACTTGTCCTCTGCGGCATCCAGAATCTCGCACATGCACCCACTTGCCTTCTTGAATCGTCAGACTTAGTGCAATGTACTCAGCTTCATTTGTTGACAGTGACACACTTGACTGCTTTTTGCTTCCCCAGCTCACCGGAGCACCCATCAGGATGAACGCATATCCCGAAGTCGACTTGCGGTCTGCATGGTCACCGGCCCAGTCTGCATCCGAGTAGCCGCAGAAGTCTATCTTGTCATCAGACTTGAAACAGATGCCGTGCGGCTTAGTCCCTTGAAAGTATCGCAAAATGCGCTTGACCGCCATCCGATGCTCGACTTGGGGGTTTTCCACGAAGCACGAAACGTAACTCACAGCAAAGGCAATGTCCGGTAGTGTCGCGGTCATCAAGTGCATTAAAGCGCCTACAGCTTCATGAAACGGGGTGCCGATTTTGGTTGTGTTGACGGTCATCGGTTTCCTACCAGTATTAGTAACCGTGAAGGGTCCAATCCGAACCGCCTGTTCAGCTTCGTATTTACGACGTAGTTCTTACGGTAATTACCATAGTTGATTAGACGCGTAGGATGATGAGACGCTTCACATGATTTATATGTGCACCACATATAAATCATGTAGTAAGTAGCAAGCCCCGATAATCAATCACTTTCGAACTCTCCTTCTGCCGAGCAAGTCTTCTCTGCTCCGCTTCTCAAGCCTCTTCGCTCCCTCCGGTCTCTTCCGGTCTTCTCGTCACTCCCGTGTCATACCTTCAACAACTAGTAAGGGCGAAGTCAGGGAATGACATCATTGCATGATGTCAGTGGATGACGTCACTGCGAATAATAGGCTTAGAGGTAGTATTCAAAGTTGCGAACTTAGTGCCTATTGTAAATGCATTTTCACTTTACGTTTTGCACTCGGACCAAGAAGTCTAAAGTTCTTCAAGGTTTACGGTTTCCACGGTAGCTGATAATAGTACCTTAACCGTCAACCCACAACAGTAATGATCACCTAAGCTGCGTCTTAAGCATGCATCATGATAGTTTCGTTCGCTGCATAGGCAATGCTGCACGTCTACCAGCGCCTGAGCAACGCCCAGCACGCGTACCGACGTTGCTTCTCTTCGAGTTGAGGAACGATGTTGTCATCGATCTGGTGGAGACTGTGCGACAAGCAGATCACCCCTTTTTTGTCCTCTGTCTTCGCAACAATGCTTTTACTAAGAAATCTGTATATGGTAGAGAGCTGGGGCTATAATTCGAGCTTCAAGGTTTATTTTTTACGGTATTGTTTTTGTGACGGTAATTAACTCATGATTGATCAGACGAGTAGACCGATTGGAAGGCCCACATGATTTATTAGTGGACCACATATAAATCAGGATTTAAGCAGAGAGAGATCCGATAGACCAATCACTTTCGAATCATCCTCCTTCCACACAAGTCGTCATCATTCGGTCCAGATTACAAGAGCAGAATTTCTTTGCAAAAGCTTAGGCATCAGTTTCAGCATATCTACGTATCAACAGAGTAGATGCGGCTAACTTCTTTGATCCACCTTATGGCGCCGCCAGGTGACTAGAAGATATAGGCCCCCTCGCCATTCTCAGCCACGTTTTGGTATGTGTTGCAGCGCAGTTGGAATACGATGTTGCTTGCCTATATATAGCATTCCACGGCACGACGGCTGAGATCAATTCTCGCGTGACACCACAAATGCCACACCGACTAAATAGAAAGTGTGCCGCGCGAATAGCAAGCTCACATCGCAAAGTGAAGTCTTTTATACTTGTCTATTGTATGTCAGTCGGAATTTGAAATCTGGTGGCGTCTGGCTTTGTACCTTGCACCCTAGTGTATGGTGTGAGTATAGATATTCAAACAGGTTGTTTAAATGGAGTACGCAAAGTAAGACGCGCGAAAAGAATTAATGTATAGATGTCTTTATTGTGCGTTGTAATGGCTTGTAGGCACCCCGTTAAGATGTAACGAGCACTGGGCGAGAGAACGAAGCTTAAAGAACTTAAAAGAAGTCTACACTGCAAAGTGAAGACGACTTGTGTAGGAGAAGGAATATTTGGAAGTGAGTTTATTTGTGGGTTCAAAGCTACCTGAATTGTCTCTGCACTGATTTATATGTTGTCCACATATGAATCATGAATCATAAATCATGTAGGTCATCCAATCATCCTAGGCGTCTAATTATTGGTAAAAACTCACCGTAATTACGCGGGATCGACTTGGACAGGTTTACGGTTTCCATGGTAGCTGATAACAGTACCTCACCCGTTAACCCGCAATACCCCCCCCTCAATGCAAACACGTGCGGATTCCAAGCGCTTCTGTCATCTCCTTGTGACGCGGTCCTGGCAGTCCCTTGGTCATGATGTCCGCCAACATAATCGTAGTCTCACAGTAATTTAAAGTGACATCACCACGCTTGACCTCATCACGAATGTGATGGTACTTGATGTCGACGTGCTTGGCACGACCATGGTTGACAGGATTATCGTCATCTTGATGCACGATTGGTTATCTTCCATGATCTTGAGCTCGGGTCCAGACTTGTACTCTGCGGCATCCAGAATCTCGCACAGCAATCGATGCACCCACTTGCCTTCTTGAATCGTCAGACTTAGTGCAATGTACTCAGCTTCATTGTTGACAGTGACACACTTGACTGCTTTATGCTTCCCCAGCTCACCGGAGCACCCATCAGGATGAACGCATATCCCGAAGTCGACTTGCGGTCTGCATGGTCGCCGGCCCAGTCTGCATCCGAGTAGCCGCAGAAGTCTATCTTGTCATCAGACTTGAAACGGATGCCGTGCGACTTAGTCCCTTGAAAGTATCGCAAAATGCGCTTGACCGCCATCCGATGCTCGACTTGGGGGTTTTCCATGATGCGCGAAACGTAACTCACAGCAAAGGCAATGTCCGGTAGTGTCGCTGTCATCAAGTGCATTAAAGCGCCTACAGCTTCATGAAACGGGGTGCCGATTTTGGTTGTGTTGACGGTCATCGGTTTCCTACCAGTATTAGTACCCGTGACCGGTCCAATCCGAACCGCCTGTATTGAGGGTTACCGGTACAATCCGAACCTAGCGCGTAGTTCTTACGAGATAGTTTTTACATCGGTAATTACCTCAGAGATGATTAGACGCGTAGGATGATTGGACGCGTTTAATCATTCAGGTTGATTAGATGCACCATGGATGTGAATGCAGTGTAGGGTTAGGCAGTAGGTCAGAAGACCTATAAATCAATCACTTTCGAATCCTCCCTCAAGTGAGCAAGTGTTCTCTGCTTCGTTTTCTCCGGTCTCTCCGCTTCGTTTTCTCTTCGCCTCGCGCTCAAGTTACAACAGGTTATGAGCCCAAGCGCCATGTCGTCCAACAACACCTCGGCCAGTGTCTCCATCGATAAGCCTCGATGGGGACAACTACTCAACCTGGTGTCGCTACATGCGCGGCGTGTTTCTGACGAAGTCAGTCTGGTACGTCGTGAACCGCGAAACGTCTCCAACCTTCACCGACACGCGAGCTTCCGACGAGTACGTCAAGGCGAGCAACATCGCGTTCGGGTTGATGTTGCTCCACATGGACGCCGACTACCACCATGTGGTCGACAACTGTGAAGAAGCATGGACAGCGTGGTCGCGGTTGAAGATGCTCTATGGTGGGTCGCAGAAGGCGGGACGCATCTACCTCAAGCGCCAGCTGTTCAGCATCAAGATGGCGGAAGGTGCCAACGTCTTGCACCATTGCAACGAAGTCTTGAACATCGGCGCCAAGCTCAGCAGCATCGGTGCCAAGATGGAAGACGAAGACATTGCGATCTGCTTGCTGCTCAGTCTCCCGAAGAGTTTCGAGAACGTGGTTCTGAACTTGGAGATGAGCAATGCAGAGCTGCGCACGCAAGATGTGGTCAAGGTGCTGACTAACGAGCACATCAAGCGACAAGGCGAGAAGATGACAACGGCAACGACAACGGTGAAGACTGAAGATGCGACAAAGGCATTCAGTACCGAGCGCAAGCCCTACCAATGCACATACTGCGGCAAGGTGGGGCACACGGCAGAGCGTTGCTGGACGAAGCAAAAGGATGAAAGTCGAGGAGCCCAACGCGGCGGCAATGGTCGTGGACGCGGGGCAAACAATGTCCAGTGGCGACATTATGATGAAGGCAACAGCTACGATCGAGTGGCGTTTGCAGTTTCGTTCGAATGCGGAGTTTCGACGAACAAGAATGGACCAGGAATGTGGGCCGTTGACAGCGGGGCAACACATCACATCTGCCACGACAAGTTCAAGTTTGCAAGCTTGGTCGAAGGCAATGATGGCGAGATCCTGGTGGCTGATGGCAACAAGGCGGCCATCAAAGGTGTGGGGACCATCGTGGAAAAGGTGATTCTGCCAAACGGGGGAAGAGCGCGAGATCGAGATCAAGAACGCGCTCTATGTGCCCAGCATGAGCAAAAATCTGCTCTCGGTGCCGCAGATTAACAAGCACGGCAACTTCCAAGTGGTGTTTGACGGGGATACGATGTACGTCGCTCGCAAGGATTCCAATCAAGTGGTGGCAGCTGCGGATCTTGTAGACGGACTCTACTGGCTTCGCACGACGCAGCGATCGGCCAATGCGACATCACTCAGCAACGCTGTTGATCTACATGCGCGAATGGGCCATGCTCCAGTAGACGTGCTTCGCAGGATGGTGACAAGCCACATGATCAAGGACGCTCACATCCCTTCCAAGCCGAATGGATCAAGTGTGTGTCGAGGATGCCAAGAAGGGAAGATGGTCCAAAAACCATTCCCGAGCAACAGTGACAAGCGCACCTACAACACCTTCGAGATGCTCCACTTCGACATCTGCGGACCCATGGAAGAAAAATCTCTGGGTGGCAGCAAGTATCTGCTGCTGATCGTGGATGAAGCCAGCGGATGCATGAAGGGTTTTTGTCTGCATTCCAAGTCAGAGAGCGAAGAGTGCATCAAGAAGTACATCACGATGATACAGACGCAGTTCAACAAGAAGGTCAAATTTGTGCGACACGATGGAGCCCGCGAATTTGCGACGAACTCGCTTCAAGATTTCTACGAAGTCGAAGGCATCGAGCAACAAACCACGGTGCCATACGCACATCAAGCCAATGGAACTGCTGAACGCGCGATTCGAACTGCCGTCACCATCGGTCGTAGCATGCTCCATCATGCCAAGTTGGACAAGTGCTTCTGGGCTGAAGCGGCAATGACGGCCGTCTATGTGAAGAACCGTTTGCCGTCACCCAAGATTTCACACAAGACACCGTTCGAGATTGTCTACAATTCTAAGCCAAGTGTCAAGCACATGCGCGTTTTTGGGTGCCAAGCATACATCTTGACCCCGAAGGAGAAACGACTCAAGTGGGATCCCAAGGCCCGGGCTGGATTGTTTTTGGGCTACGAAGAAGTGTCCAAGGCGTATCGAGTTTACGACATCGAAGCGGGGCAGGTGATGATAAGTCGCGATGTCAACTTCGATGAGTCGGCCTTTGGAATGTCGATGCTATTTCCGATGACGATGTTGATGGCCTGGACTTCGAATCGATCGATCTTGATGATGAAGAACCGCGTCCGAGACACTTCAAACAAACAGGAAAGCGCAAGGCCCAACCCAGTCACGACAATGACGACGCAAGCATGCCCCGAGCAGTGCGCCAACGACCCGGATTGGAAGAGTCAAGTGCGCCGGATGACCTCTCTTCACGTCGAGCCAACGAAGATGAAGAAAGGAAGTCGGAGGAACAACATGACACACCGACTTCCTCCGCGTTTTGGCATGCGAGTGCAAACGCCGTCGAAGCAGCGGTCGATTTTTCGGAGCCGTCGACATTTGAAGAAGCAGTATCTGGCCCGGACCAAGTACACTGGCGCAAGGCAATTGATGCGGAGCTCGATTCGATGAAGCTTCGCGGTGTCTTTCGTGCGGCCAAGTTACCCAACGGACAAAGCGCCATTGGCACAAAGTGGGTCTTCAAGATCAAGCGCAAGGCGGATGGGTCGATCGAGAAATACAAGGCACGACTTGTGGCCAAGGGTTTTCGCCAAAAGTATGGCATTGACTACACGGAGACGTTCTCGCCCGTGGTCAAGTATGTGACGCTGCGAATGGTCATCGCCATTACCAAGCACTTTGGATGGCCCCTCGACCAGCTCGATGTGGTGACTGCGTTCCTGTATGGAGTGATGAAGGAGAAGGTGTTCTGCGCTGTTCCGGAAGGCGTCAAGATGGAAGGTGATTTCGACTGTCTCGAGCTGATCAAGGCGATCTACGGTCTCAAGCAAGCCTCGCGTGTTTGGAACGAGACCTTCGACGAGTTCATACGCTCGATTGGTTTTCAAGCGTCGGGATTCGATCCATGTCTCTACATCATGACTTCGGAAGGCCATTGTGTTTTTGTGCTGGTCTACGTGGACGATGTCTTGGTGACTGGAAGCTCGCTCGAGATGATTGCGCGCACCAAGAACGACCTCAAGACACGCTTCGAGATGACGGACAGCGGCAAGTGTGCCTTTGTTCTTGGGATCGAGTTATTGGACGGTGAAGATGGCAGCGTGACTATGTGTCAGCGCCGTTATGTCGACGATGTCCTCAAGCGCTTTGGAATGGATGAGTGCAAGGCTGTGGCAAGTCCGGTGGACGTCAGCTCTCGACTGGTTCCAAGCAACTCTGCAAGCAAGGTGAATGTCCCATTCCGTGAAGCAGTGGGTGCTTTGATGCATCTGACGACTGCAACGCGACCGGACATCGCCTATGCTGTAAGCTTTGTGTCACGGTTCATGGAGAAACCCCAAGAAGAACACTGGGTTGCAGTCAAGCGCATCTTCCGCTACCTACAAGGCACCAAGATGCATGGAATCTGCTACAAGCCAAGTGCGAAGATCGACTTTCGTGGCTATTCAGATGCAGACTGGGCCGGTGACCTTGCTGATCGCAAATCGACGTCCGGCTACGTCTTCATGCTATTGGGTGCTCCGGGTGAGTTGGGGCAGCAAGAAACAGCCAAGTGTGTCACTGTCTACAAGTGAAGCGGAGTACATCGCGCTCAGCCTGGCGATCCAAGAAGGCAAGTGGATCAATCGCTTGCTGTGCGAGATCATGGCGGCTGCAAACGAAGAAGGACCCGAGCTCGTCATCCGTGAAGACAACCAGTCGTGCATCAAGATGACGAAGAATCCGGTCAACCACGGCCGCGCTAAACACATCGACATCAAGTACCATCACATCCGTGATGAAGTCAAGCGCGGCGAAGTGAAGCTTGAATACTGCGAGACGACGTTGATGTTGGCGGACATCATGACGAAGGGACTTCACGGACCGCGTCACAAGGACTTGACGGCGGCGCTTGGCATCCGTGCGTGTTCGGATTGAGGGGGCGTATTGAGGGTTACCGGTACAATCCGAACCTAGCGCGTAGTTCTTACGAGATAGTTTTTACATCGGTAATTACCTCAGAGATGATTAGACGCGTAGGATGATTGGACGCGTGCAAATCAGGTTGATTAGATGCACCATGTGATTGGATGCAGTCTAGGGTAGGCAGAAGTTAAGACCTATAAATCAATCACTTTCGAATCCTCCCTCAAGTGAGCAAGTGTTCTCTGCTTCGTTTTCTCCGGTCTCTCCGCTTCGTTTTCTCTTCGCCTCGCGCTCAAGTTACAACAGGTTATGAGCCCAAGCGCCATGTCGTCCAACAACACCTCGGCCAGTGTCTCCATCGATAAGTTCGATGGGGACAACTACTCAACCTGGTGTCGCTACATGCGCGGCGTGTTTCTGACGAAGTCAGTCTGGTACGTCGTGAACCGCGAAACGTCTCCAACCTTCACCGACACGCGAGCTTCCGACGAGTACGTCAAGGCGAGCAACATCGCGTTCGGGTTGATGTTGCTCCACATGGACGCCGACTACCACCATGTGGTCGACAACTGTGAAGAAGCATGGACAGCGTGGTCGCGGTTGAAGATGCTCTATGGTGGGTCGCAGAAGGCGGGACGCATCTACCTCAAGCGCCAGCTGTTCAGCATCAAGATGGCGGAAGGTGCCAACGTCTTGCACCATTGCAACGAAGTCTTGAACATCGGCGCCAAGCTCAGCAGCATCGGTGCCAAGATGGAAGACGAAGACATTGCGATCTGCTTGCTGCTCAGTCTCCCGAAGAGTTTCGAGAACGTGGTTCTGAACTTGGAGATGAGCAATGCAGAGCTGCGCACGCAAGATGTGGTCAAGGTGCTGACTAACGAGCACATCAAGCGACAAGGCGAGAAGATGACAACGGCAACGACAACGGTGAAGACTGAAGATGCGACAAAGGCATTCAGTACCGAGCGCAAGCCCTACCAATGCACATACTGCGGCAAGGTGGGGCACACGGCAGAGCGTTGCTGGACGAAGCAAAAGGATGAAAGTCGAGGAGCCCAACGCGGCGGCAATGTTCGTGGACGCGGGGCAAACAATGTCCAGTGGCGACATTATGATGAAGGCAACAGCTACGATCGAGTGGCGTTTGCAGTTTCGTTCGAATGCGGAGTTTCGACGAACAAGAATGGACCAGGAATGTGGGCCGTTGACAGCGGGGCAACACATCACATCTGCCACGACAAGTTCAAGTTTGCAAGCTTGGTCGAAGGCAATGATGGCGAGATCCTGGTGGCTGATGGCAACAAGGCGGCCATCAAAGGTGTGGGGACCATCGTGGAAAAGGTGATTCTGCCAAACGGGGAAGAGCGCGAGATCGAGATCAAGAACGCGCTCTATGTGCCCAGCATGAGCAAAAATCTGCTCTCGGTGCCGCAGATTAACAAGCACGGCAACTTCCAAGTGGTGTTTGACGGGGATACGATGTACGTCGCTCGCAAGGATTCCAATCAAGTGGTGGCAGCTGCGGATCTTGTAGACGGACTCTACTGGCTTCGCACGACGCAGCGATCGGCCAATGCGACATCACTCAGCAACGCTGTTGATCTACATGCGCGAATGGGCCATGCTCCAGTAGACGTGCTTCGCAGGATGGTGACAAGCCACATGATCAAGGACGCTCACATCCCTTCCAAGCCGAATGGATCAAGTGTGTGTCGAGGATGCCAAGAAGGGAAGATGGTCCAAAAACCATTCCCGAGCAACAGTGACAAGCGCACCTACAACACCTTCGAGATGCTCCACTTCGACATCTGCGGACCCATGGAAGAAAAATCTCTGGGTGGCAGCAAGTATCTGCTGCTGATCGTGGATGAAGCCAGCGGATGCATGAAGGGTTTTTGTCTGCATTCCAAGTCAGAGAGCGAAGAGTGCATCAAGAAGTACATCACGATGATACAGACGCAGTTCAACAAGAAGGTCAAATTTGTGCGACACGATGGAGCCCGCGAATTTGCGACGAACTCGCTTCAAGATTTCTACGAAGTCGAAGGCATCGAGCAACAAACCACGGTGCCATACGCACATCAAGCCAATGGAACTGCTGAACGCGCGATTCGAACTATCGTCACCATCGGTCGTAGCATGCTCCATCATGCCAAGTTGGACAAGTGCTTCTGGGCTGAAGCGGCAATGACGGCCGTCTATGTGAAGAACCGTTTGCCGTCACCCAAGATTCCACACAAGACACCGTTCGAGATTGTCTACAATTCTAAGCCAAGTGTCAAGCACATGCGCGTTTTTGGGTGCCAAGCATACATCTTGACCCCGAAGGAGAAACGACTCAAGTGGGATCCCAAGGCCCGGGCTGGATTGTTTTTGGGCTACGAAGAAGTGTCCAAGGCGTATCGAGTTTACGACATCGAAGCGGGGCAGGTGATGATAAGTCGCGATGTCAACTTCGATGAGTCGGCCTTTGGAATGTCGATGCTGATTTCCGATGACGATGTTGATGGCCTGGACTTCGAATCGATCGATCTTGATGATGAAGAACCGCGTCCGAGACACTTCAAACAAACAGGAAAGCGCAAGGCCCAACCCAGTCACGACAATGACGACGCAAGCATGCCCCGAGCAGTGCCAACTACCCGGATTGGAAGAGTCAAGTGCGCCGGATGACCTCTCTTCACGTCGAGCCAACGAAGATGAAGAAAGGAAGTCGGAGGAACAACATGACACACCGACTTCCTCCGCGTTTTGGCATGCGAGTGCAAACGCCGTCGAAGCAGCGGTCGATTTTTCGGAGCCGTCGACATTTGAAGAAGCAGTATCTGGCCCGGACCAAGTACACTGGCGCAAGGCAATTGATGCGGAGCTCGATTCGATGAAGCTTCGCGGTGTCTTTCGTGCGGCCAAGTTACCCAACGGACAAAGCGCCATTGGCACAAAGTGGGTCTTCAAGATCAAGCGCAAGGCGGATGGGTCGATCGAGAAATACAAGGCACGACTTGTGGCCAAGGGTTTTCGCCAAAAGTATGGCATTGACTACACGGAGACGTTCTCGCCCGTGGTCAAGTATGTGACGCTGCGAATGGTCATCGCCATTACCAAGCACTTTGGATGGCCCCTCGACCAGCTCGATGTGGTGACTGCGTTCCTGTATGGAGTGATGAAGGAGAAGGTGTTCTGCGCTGTTCCGGAAGGCGTCAAGATGGAAGGTGATTTCGACTGTCTCGAGCTGATCAAGGCGATCTACGGTCTCAAGCAAGCCTCGCGTGTTTGGAACGAGACCTTCGACGAGTTCATACGCTCGATTGGTTTTCAAGCGTCGGGATTCGATCCATGTCTCTACATCATGACTTCGGAAGGCCATTGTGTTTTTGTGCTGGTCTACGTGGACGATGTCTTGGTGACTGGAAGCTCGCTCGAGATGATTGCGCGCACCAAGAACGACCTCAAGACACGCTTCGAGATGACGGACAGCGGCAAGTGTGCCTTTGTTCTTGGGATCGAGTTATTGGACGGTGAAGATGGCAGCGTGACTATGTGTCAGCGCCGTTATGTCGACGATGTCCTCAAGCGCTTTGGAATGGATGAGTGCAAGGCTGTGGCAAGTCCGGTGGACGTCAGCTCTCGACTGGTTCCAAGCAACTCTGCAAGCAAGGTGGATGTCCCATTCCGTGAAGCAGTGGGTGCTTTGATGCATCTGACGACTGCAACGCGACCGGACATCGCCTATGCTGTAAGCTTTGTGTCACGGTTCATGGAGAAACCCCAAGAAGAACACTGGGTTGCAGTCAAGCGCATCTTCTGCTACCTACAAGGCACCAAGATGCATGTAATCTGCTACAAGCCAAGTGCGAAGATCGACTTTCGTGGCTATTCAGATGCAGACTGGGCCGGTGACCTTGCTGATCGCAAATCGACGTCCGGCTACGTCTTCATGCTATTGGGTGCTCCGGTGAGTTGGGGCAGCAAGAAACAGCCAAGTGTGTCACTGTCTACAAGCGAAGCGGAGTACATCGCGCTCAGCCTGGCGATCCAAGAAGGCAAGTGGATCAATCGCTTGCTGTGCGAGATCATGGCGGCTGCAAACGAAGAAGGACCCGAGCTCGTCATCCGTGAAGACAACCAGTCGTGCATCAAGATGACGAAGAATCCGGTCAACCACGGCCGCGCTAAACACATCGACATCAAGTACCATCACATCCGTGATGAAGTCAAGCGCGGCGAAGTGAAGCTTGAATACTGTGAGACGACGTTGATGTTGGCGGACATCATGACGAAGGGACTTCACGGACCGCGTCACAAGGACTTGACGGCGGCGCTTGGCATCCGTGCGTGTTCGGATTGAGGGGGCGTATTGAGGGTTACCGGTACAATCCGAACCTAGCGCGTAGTTCTTACGAGATAGTTTTTACATCAGTAATTACCTCAGAGATGATTAGACGCGTAGGATGATTGGACGCGTGTAAATCAGGTTGATTAGATGCACCATGTGATTGGATGCAGTCTAGGGTAGGCAGAAGTTAAGACCTATAAATCAATCACTTTCGAATCCTCCCTCAAGTGAGCAAGTGTTCTCTGCTTCGTTTTCTCCGGTCTCTCCGCTTCGTTTTCTCTTCGCCTCGCGCTCAAGTTACAACAGCCTGTTCAGCTTCGTATTTACGACGTAGTTCTTACGGTAATTACCATAGTTGATGAGACGCGTAGGATGATGAGACGCTTCACATGATTTATGTGTGCACTACGTATAAATCATGTAGTAAGTAGTAAGCCCCGATAATCAATCACTTTCGAATTCTCCTTCTGCCGAGCAAGTCTTCTCTGCTCCGCTTCTCAAGCCTCTTCGCTCTCTCCGGTCTCTTCCGGTCTCTTCCGGTCTTCTCGTCACTCCCGTGCCATACCGTTAATAGGTTATGATCTTAAGCGCAATGTCTTCTGCCGGCCACGCATCCTCCAACGCCCTCATCGATAAGTTCGATGGGGACAACTATTCGACCTGGAGTCGATACATGCGTGGCGTGTTCCTGACAAAGTCAGTGTGGCATGCTGTCAACCGGGAGAGCTCCCCGACGTTCGTGGACCCTCGAGCGCAGGACGACTACGTCAAGGCCAACAACATCGCATTTGGAACGATGTTGCTGCACATGGGTGCGAATTACCACCATGTGGTCGACAACTGCGAGGAAGCGTGGGTAGCGTGGCAGAGCCTGAAGGTGCTGTACGGTGGATCCCAGAAAGCGGGAAGGATCTACCTCAAGCGTCAACTCTTCAGCATGAAGATGGACGAAGGCGCCAACGTCATGCATCACTCCAACGAGGTCCTGAACATCGCTGCCAAGCTTAGCAGCATTGGTGCGAAGATGGAAGACGAAGACGTTGCAATTTGTCTGCTACTCAGTCTTCCGAAGAGCTACGAAAATGTGGTGCTCAACATGGAAATGAGCAGCACCGAGCTTCGCACTCAAGATATGGTGAGAGTCCTGACGAATGAGCATGCCAAGCGTCAAGTAGAAAAAGGGACAACGACAGCGACTACGGTGAAGGCTGAAGATGCAAGCAAGGCATTCAGCGCCGAGCGTGAGCCCTACCAATGCACGTATTGTGGCAAGGTGGGACACACGGTGGATCGTTGCTGGACAAAGCAGAAGAACGAAGGTCGGGGAGCCCGACGCGGCGGCAATGGTCGTGGACGCGGGGCTAACAATGTCCAGTGGGGACATCATGATGAAGGCAATGGATACGATCGAGTGGCGTTTGCAGTCTCGTTCGAATGTGGAGTTTCGACGAGCAAGGATGTGTCTGGAATGTGGGCCGTCGGCAGTGGCACAACGCACCACATTTGCCACGACAAGACCAAGTTCGCAAGTTTGGCAGAGCGCAATGAGGGCGAACTCTTGGTGGCTGACGGCAACAAGGTGACCATCAAGGAAGTGGGAACCATCATTGAGAAGGTGGTTCTGCCCGACGGTGAAGAGCGCGAGATCAAGATCAAGAACGTGCTTTACGTACCAAGCATGAGCAAGAATCTACTATCGGTACCGCAGATCAACAAGTACGGCAAGTTTCAAGTCGTGTTCGACGGGACCAAGATGTTTTTCGCTCGCAAAGGATCGCAACAAGTGGTGGCGACTGCAGATCTTATGGATGGACTTTACTGGCTTCACACAGCTCATCGATCGGGCAATGCGACAACAAACGGATGCAACGGTGTTGACTTACATGCGCGGATGGGACACGCTCCAGCTGATGTGCTTCGCAAAATGGTGGCCACGAACACGATCAAAGATGTGGAAGTACCTCTCAAGTCAAGTGGATCAGGTACATGTCGAGAATGTCAACAAGGGAAAATGGTCCAAAAACCATTCCCATGCAACAAGGACAAGCGCAGATACGACACCTTCGAGCTACTACATCTGCGGACCCATGGAGATGAATTCTCTGGGTGGCAGCAAGTATCTACTGCTGATCGTTGACGAAGCCAGTGGATGCATGAAGGGCTTCTGTCTACGTGTGAAGTCGGAGAGTGAAAACTACATCACACGATACATCAAGATGGTGCAAGCGCAGTTTGGCAAGAAGGTCAAGCTCGTCCGACATGACGGAGCCCGCGAGTTCGCAACCAACTCGCTTCAAGAGTTCTACGAAGATGAAGGCATTGAGCAGCAGACGACGGTGCCATATGCACACCAGACCAACGGCACGGCAGAGCGCGCCATTCGGACTATCATCACAATTGGTCGCAGCATGCTCCACCATGCTAAGCTGGAAAAGTGCTTCTGGGCCGAAGCAGCAATGACGGCAATCTACGTCTGCCGTCGCCTAAAGTTATGCACAAAACTCCGTTCGAGATCGTCCACAACTCCAAGCCAAGTGTCAAGCACATGCGGGTGTTCGGTTGTCAGGTTTACATACTGACACCGAAGGAGAAGCGGCTCAAGTGGGACCCCAAGGCTTGCACTGGGATATTCTTGGGCTACGAAGAAGCATCCAAAGCGTATCGCGTTTATGACATCGAGGCAGGCCAGGTGGTCATCAGTCGCGATGTCAACTTTGACGAGTCCGCCTTTGGACTTTCGCCGCCAACCACCGCTGAAGACGCCGATGACATTGACTTCGACTCCCTCGATCTGGATGATGAAGCGCCAGGTCAAGCGCAGTACAAGCAAACATGCAACCGCAAGAGTCGTCCCCACGATGAAGAAGTACCAGCTCCACCCACGCGCACAGTGCTTAAACGGCCTGGACTAGAAGAATCAAGTGCGCCAGACTCTCTACATAAGGATTGTGGAAGGGCAATGCGTGCTGCTGCTGGTGTATGTGGATGACGTGTTGATCACCGGTAGCTCATGCGAGCTAATTGCACGCACCAAGACCGACCTGAAGACACGATTCGAGATTACTGACAGCGGCAAGTGTGCATTTGTGCTTGGAATAGAGCTTTTGGACGGCGCAGATGGAAGCGTGACACTATGCCAGCGTAGGTATGTGGATGACATACTCAAGCGCTTTGGCATGGATGATTGCAAAGCCGTCGCAAGTCCAGTCGACATGAGCTCTCGACTTGTTTCAAGTGATGCAACTACCAAGGTCGATGCTCCTTTTCGCGAAGCTGTTAGTGCGTTGATGCACCTGACCACTGCAACGCGCCCGAATATTGCGTTCGCCATAGGCTATGTGTCGCGATTCATGGAGAACCCCCAAGAAGAACACTGGGTTGCAGTTAAGCGTATCTTTCGCTACCTACAAGGCACCAAGACGCATGGAATTTGCTACAAGCCAAGTGCAAGGATCGACTTCCGTGGATATTCGGATGCGGATTGGGCTGGTGATCTTACCGACCGCAAGTCAACATCGGGGTACACGTTCATGCTACTCGGTGCGCCAGTGAGTTGGGGCAGCAAGAAGCAGCCAAGTGTTTCGTTGTCCACGACTGAAGCTGAATGCATCGCACTCAGCTTAGCGATTAAAGAGGGCAAGTGGATCATCGTCTGCTTTGTGAGATCGTGATGGCTGCCAATGAAGAAGGACCGGAACTCATGATCCATGAAGACAATCAGTCGCGTATCAAGATGACAAAGAACCCGGTCAACCACGGCCATGCCAAGCACATTGATATCAAGTACCATCACATCCGTGACGAGGTCAAGCGCGGTGAAGTGAAGCTCAAGTACTGTGAAACTGCGGTGATGTTAGCGGACATCATGACGAAGGGACTTCACGGGCCACGCCACAAGGAGATGACGGCGACTCATGGGATCTGTGCGTGTTCGCATTGAGGGGGCGTGTTGACGGTCATCGGTTTTCTACCAGTGTTGGTAACCGTGACCGATCCAATCCGAACCGCCTGTTCAGCTTAGTATTTACGACGTAGTTCTTACGGTAATTACCATAGTTGATTAGACGCGTAGGATGATGAGACGCTTCACATGATTTATATGTACACCACATATAAATCATGTAGTAAGTAGTAAGCCCCAATAATAAACCACTTTCGAATTCTCCTTCTGCCGAGCAAGTCTTTTCTGCTCCGCTCCTCAAGCCTCTTCGCTCCCTCCGGTCTCTTCCGGTCTTCTCGTCACTCTCGTGTCATACCTTCAACAACTAGTAAGGGCGAAGTCAGGGAATGACGTCATTGGATGACGTCAGCAGAATGACATCATTGCATGACGTCAGTGGATGACGTCACTGCGAATAATAGGCTTGGAGGTAGTATTCAAAGTTGCGAACTTAGTACCTATTGTATATACATATTCACTTTGCGTTTTGCACTCGGACCAAGAAGTCTAAAGTTCTTCAAGGTTTACGGTTTCCACGGTAGCTGATAATCGTACCTTAACCGTCAACCCACAACAGTAATGATCACCTAAGCTGCGTCTTAAGTATGCATCATGACAGTTTCGTTCGCTGCATAGGCAATGCTGCACGTCTACCAGCGCCTGAGCAACGCCCAGCACGCGTACCGACGTTGCTTCTCTTCGAGTTGAGGAACGATGTTGTCATCGATCCTGAGGAGACTGTGCGACAAGCAGATCACCCCTTTTTTGTCCTCCGTCTTCGCAACAATGCTTTTACTAAGAATTCTGTATATGGTAGAGAGCTGGGGCTATAATTCGAGCTTCAAGGTTTATTTTTTACGGTATTGCTTTTGTGACGGTAATTAACTCATGATTGATCAGACGAGTAGACCGATTGGAAGGCCCACATGATTTATTAGTGGACCACATATAAATCAGGATTTAAGCAGAGAGAGATCCGATAGACCAATCACTTTCGAATCATCCTCCTTCCACACAAGTCGTCATCATTCGGTCCAGATTACAAGAGCAGAATTTCTTTGCAAAACCTTAGGCATCAGTTTCAGCATATCTACGTATCAGCAGAGTAGATGCGGCTAACTTCTTTGATCCACCTTATGGCGCCGCCAGGTGACTAGAAGATATAGGCCCCCTCGCCATTCTCAGCCACGTTTTGGTATGTGTTGCAGCGCAGTTGGAATACGATGTTGCTTGCCTGTATATAGCATTCCACGGCACGACGGCTGAGATCGATTCTCGCGTGACACCACAAATGCCACACCGACTAAATAGAAAGTGTGCCGCGCGAATAGCAAGCCCACATCGCAAAGTGAAGTCTTTTATACTTGTCTATTGTATGTCAGTCGGAATTTGAAATCTGGTGGCGTCTGGCTTTGTACCTGTTGAATGGGTGAAAACCGATGACCGTCAACAGTACCTTACACCCTAGTGTATGGTGTGAGTATAGATATTCAAACAGGTTGCTTAAATGGAGTACGCAAAGTAAGACGCGCGAAAAGAATCAATGAATAGATGTCTTTATTGTGCGTTGTAATGGCTTGTAGGCACCCTATTAAGATGTAACGAGCACTGGGCGAGAGAACGAAGCTTAAAGGACTTAAAAGAAGTCTACACTGCAAAGTGAAGACGACTTGTGTAGGAGAAGGAATATTTGGAAGTGAGTTTATTTGTGGGTTCAAAGCTACCTGAATTGTCTCTGCACTGATTTATATGTTGTCCACATATGAATCATGAATCATAAATCATGTAGGTCATCCAATCATCCTATGCGTCTAATCATTGGTAAAAACTCACCGTAATTACGCGGGATCGACTTGGACAGGTTTACGGTTTCCATGGCAGCTGATAACAGTACCTCACCCGTTAACCCGCAATGCGCCCCCTCAATGCAAACACGCGTGTATTCCGAGCGCTGCCGTCAAGTCCTTGTGACGCGGTCCTGGCAGTCCCTTGGTCATGATGTCCGCCAACATAATCGTAGTCTCACAGTAATTTAAAGTGACATCACCACGCTTGACTTCATCACGAATGTGATGGTACTTGATGTCGATGTGCTTGGCCCGACCATGGTTCACAGGATTGTTCGTCATCTTGATGCACGATTGGTTATCTTCCATGATCTTGAGCTCGGGTCCACTTGTCCTCTGCGGCATTCAGAATCTCGCACAGCAATCGATGCACCCACTTGTCTTCTTGAATCGTCAGACTTAGTGCAATGTACTCAGCTTCACTTGTTGACAGCGACACACTTGACTGCTTTATGCTTCCCCAGCTCACCGGAGCACCCATCAGGATGAACGCATATCCCGAAGTCGACTTGCGGTCTGCATGGTCGCCGGCCCAGTCTGCATCCGAGTAGCCACAGAAGTCTATCTTGTCATCAGGCTTGAAACAGATACCGTGCGACTTAGTCCCTTGTAAGTATCGCAAAATGCGCTTGACCGCCATCCAATGCTCGACTTTGGGGTTCTCCACGAAGCACGAAACGTAACTCACAGCAAAGGCAATGTCCGGTAGTGTCGCGGTCATCAAGTGCATCAAAGCGCCTACAGCTTCATGAAACGGGGCGTCGATTTTGGTTGTGTTGACGGTCATCGGTTTCCTACCAGTATTAGTAACCGTGAAGGGTCCAATCCGAACCGCCAGTTCAGCTTCGTATTTACGACGTAGTTCTTACGGTAATTACCATAGTGGATTAGACGCGTAGGATGATGAGACGCTTCACATGATTTTTATGTGCACCACATATAAATCATGTAGTAAGTAGTAAGCCGTGATAATCAATCACTTTCGAATTCTCCTTCTGCCGAGCAAGTCTTCTCTGCTCCGCCCCTCAAGCCTCTTCGCTCTCTCCGGTCTCTTCCGGTCTTCTCGTCACTCCCGTGCCATACCGTCAACGATTCTTACGGTGATTACCATAGTTGATTAGACGCGTAGGATGATGAGACGCTTCACATGATTTATATGTGCACCACATATAAATCATGTAGTAAGTAGCAAGCCCCGATAATCAATCACTTTCGAATTCTCCTTCTGCCGAGCAAGTCTTCTCTGCTCCGCTTCTCGAGCCTCTTCGCTCCCTCCGGTCTCTTCCGGTCTTCTCGTCACTCCCGTGTCATACCTTCAACAACTAGTAAGGGCGAAGTCAGGGAGTGACGTCATTGGATGACGTCAGCGGAATGACATCATTGCATGACGTCAGTGGATGACGTCACTGCGAATAATAGGCTTAGAGGTAGTATTCAAAGTTGCGAACTTAGTGCCTATTGTAAATGCATTTTCACTTTGCGTTTTGCACTCGGACCAAGAAGTCTAAAGTTCTTCAAGGTTTACGGTTTCCACGGTAGCTGATAATAGTACCTTAACCGTCAACCCACAACAGTAATGATCACCTCAGCTGCGTCTTAAGCATGCATCATGATAGTTTCGTTCGCTGCATAGGCAATGCTGCACGTCTACCAGCGCCTGAGCAACGCCCAGCACGCGTACCGACGTTGCTTCTCTTCGAGTTGAGGAACGATGTTGTCATCGATCTGGTGGAGACTGTGCGACAAGCAGATCACCCCTTTTTTGTCCTCTGTCTTCGCAACAATGCTTTTACTAAGAAATCTGTATATGGTAGAGAGCTGGGGCTATAATTCGAGCTTCAAGGTTTATTTTTTACGGTATTGTTTTTGTGACGGTAATTAACTCATGATTGATCAGACGAGTAGACCGATTGGAAGGCCCACATGATTTATTAGTGGCCCACATATAAATCAGGATTGAAGCAGAGAGAGATCCGATAGACCAATCACTTTCGAATCATCCTCCTTCCACACAAGTCGTCATCATTCGGTCCAGATTACAAGAGCAGAATTTCTTTGCAAAACCTTAGGCATCAGTTTCAGCATATCTACGTATCAGCAGAGCAGATGCGGCTAACTTCTTTGATCCACCTTATGGCGCCGCCAGGTGACTAGAAGATATAGGCCCCCTCGCCATTCTCAGCCACGTTTTGGTATGGGTTGCAGCGCAGTTGGAATACGATGTTGCTTGCCTATATATAGCATTCTACGGCACGACGGCTGAGATCGATTCTCGCGTGACACCACAAATGCCACACCGACTAAATGGAAAGTGTGCCGCGCGAATAGCAAGCCCACATCGCAAAGTGAAGTCTTTTATACTTGTCTATTGTATGTCAGTCGGAATTTGAAATCTGGTGGCGTCTGGCTTTGTACCTGTTGAATGGGTGAAAACCGATGACCGTCAACAGTACCTTACACCCTAGTGTATGGTGTGAGTATAGATATTCAAACAGGTTGCTTAAATGGAGTACGCAAAGTAAGACGCGCGAAAAGAATCAATGAATAGATGTCTTTATTGTGCGTTGTAATGGCTTGTAGGCACCCTATTAAGATGTAACGAGCACTGGGCGAGAGAACGAAGCTTAAAGGACTTAAAAGAAGTCTACACTGCAAAGTGAAGACGACTTGTGTAGGAGAAGGAATATTTGGAAGTGAGTTTATTTGTGGGTTCAAAGCTACCTGAATTGTCTCTGCACTGATTTATATGTTGTCCACATATGAATCATGAATCATAAATCATGTAGGTCATCCGATCATCCCATGCGTCTAATTATTGGTAAAAACTCACCGCAATGACGCGGGATCGACTTGGACAGGTTTACGGTTTCCATGGTAGCTGATA